ATTGTTTTGAATAGTGAGCAATTACTAATTTTTCTGACTTCTAAGTTCATACGTTGAAGAGGTGAGGTATCCTAGGGCAGTCTTTCTTTAGTAAATACTTCTTCCCTTTCGGTCTAGACCAAAAATTGTGAGAATCTTTTTCCTTAGTATTCTTAAAATTATGCTGAATAATATGTGGTGGTTTGAATGAAAATGGCTCCCATAAAGTCATGTGTTTGAATATTTGGTCCTCAGTTGGTAGTATAGCTTGGGAAGGGTTAAGGAGATGCGGCCTTCTTGGAGGAGATGTGTCACTAGTGTCAGGCTTTTAGGTTTCTAAAGACTCATACTTGCTCTTGCTCTCTCTGACTCCTGCCTGTGGGTCAAGATGAAAATGCTCAGCTACTCTACCAGCACCTGTCTGCCACAGAGAAATCAGCAGCAAGGAGTGCTGCAGGCAGGGAGTGAAGCAGTCCAAGAGAGAATGTGTTGCTGTCAGCCAAGTTTCAAGGAGCAGTCTAAATCCTTTAACATTAGATATGGGACCATAGGATTCGCACTTTGTCCTGCTGGGTTTTGGCCACACTTTGGTCCAGTATTTCCTCACTGATCCCCCTACTTATCTTTAGGAATGGCAATGTATAGTCTGTGTAATTGTATGTTCAAAGTATGTAATTTGCTTTTTGCTTTTGATTTTAAAGGGGTTTATAGTTAAGAGATTACCTTGAGTCTCAGAAGAGACTTCAGAGTTTTAAACTGTGTTGAAATTGTGAGAAACTGTAGGAAGTTTTGAAGTTGGACTTAATACATTTTGTGTTATGATGCAGGCATGAACTTATGGAAGTCAGGGATAGGAATGTGGTGGTTTGAATGAGAATGACCTCATAGGCTCATAGATTTAAAAACTTGGGTTTCCAGTTGGTGGACCTGATCGGAGGAGATTTAGGAAGTATGGCCTTGTTAGAGATGCTTTGTCACTGGGGGTGGACTTGCTGTTCTCTGCTTTGAGCTCATGGATCAAGATGTAAGCTCTCAGCAGTCATCACTGGAGCACCATGCCTCTGTCATGCTTCTCACTAAGATGATCATGGATTCACCCTTTGGAACCCCGCCACTCTGTTTTCTAGAAATTGCTTATCCAAACAAGAGAAAAGTAGCTGGAGCAGAGACCTTGTATGACCATTGCTTATTGGCTTGTTCAGCTATCTGTCTTAGACAGTTCATGTCCACCTAGAATTGGCACTGTCCATAGTTGGCTGGGCCTTCCTGTGTCAATTAGCAAATAACAAATGCCCTACAGACATGCGTATAGGCAAATCCAATGGAGATAGTTCCTCAATTGAGGCTCTCCCTTTTTCTTTGTGTCAAGTTGACAATGAGACTAACGAGGCTGAATTTATTATCTTCTTGACTATTCCTAGTCACAGGGTATTGGCACTTGGTACTCCAGATGCAGACTACTCTTGCCTAATAAGGCTACCTCGTATCTCCAATAGTTCTTTCTGACGGTTCTCAGATATCCCAAACATCCCCCAGTCTCTCTTAAGCAGATCAGCATGTCTAGGAACAGGTGTCCTCCTTGCCTGGTTCTGGCCTGCCACACTTATCCCAGGATGACGCTACATCTGTCCATGCTCTGTTTCCCTCATGACTTTCTGTGGACTGTTGTAGTCTCCATATTTAGAACAGCAACAGTTAGATGCCCACAAAGTGTTTTAATTAGTGACTATTTTAGTCACAGCTACAGAGGTAGCTAATTAGTATTAAGTTCTGATGAGAATGAAAAATTAAGTTAATTAAAAACCTAAAATAAATACAAATCAGAACCTTTGAAGAGCAGGCAGTGCTCTTAACCACTGAGCCATCTCTCTAGGCAACAATAATGAATGGGAAGCTATTAAATCAACCCATCATGAATTTTCTTAGTTATGATTTAAAGCATTCCAAATGTGCCTCAATAATGAGAAATATGGGAATATATAATTCCTATGAGATAAAAAGAATCTTTTTTTTTTAAAAAAAGATAGTATTTCATGCACTAGTTCAGGCTAACATCGAACACATTATTTAGCCCAAGTGTTGGGGTTATAACACTGAGTCAAAATGCCTAGCAAGATCAACATTAATATTACAAATACAATTTTAAAGAAGAGTTAACATGTGAAAACGACAAACCTTGTGACTTAGTGATATATTTTCTCAACAAAATCATCTTTCTACTTCAGCATTATTCTAGTGTCAGTAATGCGGTAGAGACAATATTGCCCCTACCTTGTTATGGACATAGAAGCATGGCATGAACATAGGACTGGTCCCTTCCTGTGAATGGATTCTCAGCAGCAGTTTTCTCAAGCCATTTAGACTAGCAGAGCTTAGTGCTTCCTCCTACTTCTCTAGCCAGACCACTATGATCAAAAGAGAAATTTGTCCAGGGCAAGTGTACAGCATTAGGTGACCTTGCACCAAGTGTGCATGTTAAGGGATGCTCACTTCCCTTTCCTTCTAAGAGCAGGGAAGAAATGTAGGACTCAGAAGAATGCTGAAGAAGTGCAGATAAAGTGCCACAGCTCTTTCCCTTTTAAATGTGAACTAGAGCCCCGCAGGAGTTCCTGTCAGGGATGCAGATTTTCTGTCTTTGAGACACACTGAATCAGAACCTAGATATTTAGCAAAATTCCCAGATGATTCTGGAGCACATATTAAAGTTCAAGAAGAACTAACATATCCAGTCACCATTGGGAAACATCACTTTTTCAAGGAATTTACCTTTAATTTTAAACACATTAATTCAAAATTTTATTGCATTTTGTTTATTATTTCTAATTTATAGTATGTATATGTCTGAAGAGGTCAGAGGACACCTTGCAGGAGTCTGTTTTCTCTCTCCGTCATGGGGGTCCTGGGGATCACTCAGGTCACAGGCTTAGCAGCAGGAGCACTATCTTCTCAGCAATCTCTCTAGCCCACGTTTATGTTTTATGTGCTCACTTTTCTCCTGTGACCTCCCTCAACAAGCTTTTGTTCTGCTCTACAATTTCAGGTATGTATTCCTTCTAATTCTCTAATCCAGTCAGGAAGTGGTTGGTCACCCTCAGAATATCTACGCACCGACTGCACTAGTGGACAAGTCTTCCCAGGCAGTTCAGTATTTAAGTACACAGGATCTGCAGCTGAGCGTGATCCCTAATGACTTGTTTCCTCCAACAGCCTGCATATCGCGGCCCGGCACTGTAAATGCTAGCTAGCAGAAAGAAACTGACAGCTCGCTTTTGACCTAAGAGTGCCATCCCTATTCCTCTTTAAACGACATGGCTCCATAACTGGCTGCTATAAAAATGGGATTGTTTCAATTATATATTGATGATGTAAACAAAAACAAGACCGCCACATAACTCTAAGTGGATGTTAAAAGAATTTCTGAATGCTAAACATAAGAATCCAGCTGTTGTGTGCTTATCTAAAGATGATTATTTGGAAGTTTCAGTAATTATTTGGCAAATAATTATCATGGTTATTACATTTCAGGAAGTAGAAAAGACACTAGAGACTGAAATAATGGCAAAAAAAAAATAAATAAATAAAAGCAACACTCCTAGCGTGAGGAAGAGCCGTTCTGCCTCACAAAAGCTATGTTACTGAATCACTGCCCTTAGTGGTCGTTACAGGTACACGAGGAAACAGTAACTAAAGCGCAGTGGGATGTAGTTAGGGTAAGGGTTGCTCACATTGACATCTTTCCCCACTGGTCTGCTAGATCATTGGATTTTATCACAATGTAATATTCTTTTCGTGGTTTCTTCTAAGTTAGAAAAACTGCTGGCCCATTGCTTTCCGTTTAAAGGACCCTTTCCATGGCCAGGACATTTGGGTGTGTTTGGTGGGGCGGAGAATGCTGTCTTGGCGCTTGCTCACTTACAGGCACTAATAATCTTGTCACAGTGGTTAAGAAATGTTCGCTTTAAGGCAGATGAAGCCCAGAACAATTGAATTCCATGTCTGTGAGATAACAGAAGCTAAAATTCCTTTTTGGATACTGACATTCTGTGCTCGTGGAACTTATTGGGTAGCCCGGGTAACATCAATTGGGCCGCTAAACCTTTAACATGGAAAATAAGTTTAACCAAACCAAATTGTTCAGGGATGATTTTTAAATACAGAAAAAACAGTGTTTGGAGAAAGACTCCCATATAAAGTCCAGGAGAGCCTTGAATTCTCTGTGTAGCCAAGGCTGGACCAGACTCACAGTGATTCACTTGCCTCAGTTTCCCCAGTAAGGGGCTTCACTTTATAGTCATATCTATGCTGGGCTTCTTCTTAGAGCATAAAAGCCTGTTAGTGACCTCTCTCTCTCTCTCTCTCTCTCTCTCTCTCTCTCTCTCTCTCTCTCTCTCTCTCTCTCCATATATATATATATACACACACACACACACTGTATTATTATATATTATGATACAACATATTATGCAATATGTGCATGCAGTATTTATTGCATGTGTATTGTAATATATGGTATGATATATAATATATATACACACACATAAAAATATCCACCTGTATAATATATACTTCCTATCACATCTGAGTCCCCATGGGGAAAACTGTGAGGATATTTCCTGAATTAAATAATTTGCTAACAGTAAATTTCTTTTGCGACCCCTCTTTCCACTACTCACCCGTTCCTAAAGTAGTACTGAGTTTCTAGAAAGGACGATCGAGCCTGAAGCTTAGCTAAAGTACCCATGGCCTCCAGGCCTGGGGTTTACCAAAGTTGTTACTATGGGTCTCCATGACAACTGGGCTGAACCAAGTGAACTTCCTGCTCACTCCCATTTCCTTTCACTCTGCGTCAGTTCCAAGTGACTGAACAGAGAATTCGGATTTTTTTACGTGAGAACTGACTTCAGCCGACTGTCTCCTATTTCCTTCAGGACTGCTCGACAGGTACGGCCGCCAAGCGAAGGGGAGCGAATGGTCGCTTCCGGCTTCCGGTTTCCGCCTCCAGCCCGCTTCCGGAAGTTCCTCTCAAAATGCTGAAGTGCTGTGTGGAAGTGGCCGGGGCTGCGGGAGTTGGAGTCGGTCCTCGGGCCTGAGCCTCGAGGCCGCGGTCCTGTGTGTCGTTGATGTTCGGGGCCGCCGGACGCCCAGCGATCGGAGCCGCCGCCGCCGGGAAGAGCTGGTGAGAGCGGCGGGCCGCTGAGGACGGGGCGGGCGCGCAGGCGGGTAGCCCCTCAGGGCTCCCGGACCAGGGACGACCGCGCTGAGCTCTGTCAGGCCTGGTCCCAGTCGCCCCTGCTAAACTGGTCACTTTGGACCAAATTCTACGAATGATGGAATTCCAGAAAGCCACATCAGGCCTGGTCCCTGTCGCCCCTGCTAAACTGGTCACCTTGGACCAAATTATGATGGAATTACACAAATCCACAGTTCTGGAAGTTTTTTAGTGGAAGAGCCTTCAGGCTCCCATACTCCCTGCGCAGCACGGTTTAGGAAAAACCTAGAAGTTTCCCACTACCTAGAAGGTTCTGTCCCAGTTCTCGAGAGATGAGTGTTGTCCAACAGCCTTAAGTTTTGGGTTGGAGTTGGTCTTTAGTGACCATGACCTATTGCTGTAAGTTTTCAAGTTGCTTTTTTGCAAATTATACTTTATCCTGTTGGTATCCCCGTGATACGAGACTGTCGCAGGCCTACAAGAAGTGGCTAAGTTTCCCAGTGCCCGTGAGTGCTAGGTTTTGGATTTTCTTCAGTGGAGAGCCGAGGTCGACCCCGCCCCTGACAACACACCCCGTTTCTCCCAAGGCTTTCCCCTGCAGATAAACAAAATGAAATGAGAAAGTGGATATCCTGCCGACAATCTTGAAACGTAAAAATCTGACCGATAAGTCAAAAGAAGTGCGGTTTTAAAGTCCATACCTGTTTGCAGAATCAGAAAGAGCCCAAGGAATTCGACTGGGCTGTGATCGCAGCTTTTGCCTCCCTATGACGGAAAAGTTGAACATTTTTACGTCCAGTGCTGTATTTAGATCTCTTCACTCTAGAGATCAATTTTTAACGAGTGTCGATTTTTCTCGTGACTTTGAAATTCTCCCAACTTTCAGCTAGTAAAATGGAGAATGCTTTTATAATGGGCCATTTTTAATTGCTGCAGTCAGCTTGGGATAAGAGGCATAGTTGTTAATGTGTTAGCTTGTATTAGTTTTGGCACCTGTACATGCTGGGCCATGATGTACACTTGACCATGATCAAGGGGCTTCCCAACGGCCTGGTCTTTCCTTTCAAGCATGCTTTCTCGATTCGGTGTCTCGGTGAGGCGTGGGGTGGAATGTGCTCAGTCCATTGGTTTGGGCTTCCTGGAGAGGAAGGAATTGGTATGACAGCTGACAAAACCAAACACCTCTGGCCCTTTTTCCTCATCACCCGTCTTGCACAGAGACTCTGCACATTGCTGGGCTGTTACTTGAAACCGGATTTGCTTGCTAGACTGACTGTCTTAACCTGAGGGAAAACTCTTCATTCCTAATGAGACAAGAGTGTCCTCAGCACCGACCAGTTTGTGGTTTTGAAAGAAATTCTTAAAGTACGTCTTGATTGGCCGAAGAGATGTGTTCCCCAAAAGTGGACCCTTTATTTTCTAGTGTGTATGCACAAGTGTGCAACCCTTCAGCCCCCCCCCCCGCCCCCCACACATACCGCTTGTTACTGTGCTCCCTCTTTCTTTCCCCTTCCCTTCCTCTCCCTTTGACAGAGTTTTGTTCTGAGCCCAGGCTGACTTCCACCTGGTGATCGGCCTGTCTCAGCCTCTGCAGTACCGGGATTATAGGCTCGTGCTGCCTTGCCCAGGCTTTGATAATTCCTCGTCCTTGTTCCATTCGTTGAACTGCCTTGCATGTTTGTTTTATCCAAATTGTCAAATTCCCGTGCTATTAGTGGTTGCTACCAGTAAGTCGTTAATTGGTGTTGGTTCTATCTATGTATGTCATCTCATGTATGTAAACCCATGAGCTTTCATGTAAGTGCGATGCATTCTTTACATATTAGATGAGGTGACAGCAGAGGTGAAGTTAATTTAAATAACTTCTCTAAGGGACTGATTTGCAGTATGATTCTAGTGTGCTCAGAGAAAATTCCTCAATGCCCTGATGTACTCGTTATGTCTGACTAATGTAGTATCTATGAATTAGAAAAGTACTTGCCCAGATTTGTAAACCAATTTCCAATTTCTGAGATAGTGTATTTTTATTTAATAGACCACGCTTTGTGGCTTTAATAACAGTAAAAAGCCATTAAGGTGGATTCTGGACCTTTGCTTTTGTTCTGGAATTCCATTCTTTGGTATGTTGATTTTTATTATTATCTGGGAAACTGTATCGGAGAAACTGCTGGTTTTGAGCAGCTAATTTTGGGGAGAGGGGAGTGTCTTGATTCCTAAACCTTTAAGTTTGCTTGATTGAGCATACTCCTTCAGTTAAAGATCAAAGCAATAGAAAGTCTGATTTGGGGCAAATAGTCGTGGGGAAGCTTCTTGACATTGTTGTATGCCAAGCTGGAAACCTTTAAGTTATCTTTGATCATTTGCCTTTATTTTTACCTTACTTAAGCTATTAGAATGCTGTCTTACCAATGTAGCAGGAAAGTTAAATCCGTATTGTCTGAAGATTTTAGTGAAATTACATTCACTGAGTCAGCCTTTCATTTGTAGACCCTACATATTCTTATCTTCTGGTATATATCAAACAGTATGGTAGTTACTCCTATTTAATCCTTAGCTGTTTTCATATTTCTAATCTAGGAATTCAAGATATATATCCAGTAAATATTTACTGTGCAATTATCATATAAAAGCAATAATCAAGACATTTCCAATAAATCTGGTTGACAGAATGAATTACTTTTAAATTCCAAAATTTTTGTCTAGTTTGGCTTAGATTCTGATGGCATTTCATTTAGGCACTTTTTAAATGAATAATTTACATTTTGAGAGTAATTAGAAGCAGTGAGAAAAGTTTGGATGATTTGAAGTCAGTTATTAAGTGAAGTAACAGAAAATCAAAAAGTGGTCTCCAAGTAAAATAAGTGAGCTCACATTATTAAATCATTAGCTGAAAAGTAGAATTAGACTTTACTCTTTCCTTCCTTCCTTTCCTCCCTCTCCCTCCCTCCCTCCCTCCCTCCCCTCCCTCCCTCCCTCCCTCCCTCCCTCCCTCCCTTCTTTCTTTTGCACTTAAAGGCCAACCAATTACCAATTTAGTTCTCAAAATTTTTTCTAGGGTAAAGAGGAAAGAAAGTTTCCTCCAGTGTCTCTGGTGCCAAAGTGACAAAGCTGCAGCTCCCAGCAGACCCAGCAAATGGACGCCATCAGTGATTTGGCATCCTTAGGGGCACGGATTCTCCTGCTTGTTCCAGAACTTTGTAATTCCTAACTGGGGAAGACAGATTCTTTTCTTTAATCCTCTTGTTATTCACATCTGTGTATTAAAGTAGAAATCAGATGCCTTGAAGACAGGATTTCAACTCTGTAGCCCAGGGTAGCCTCCTTAAGTGCTGAGATTACGGGCAAGGTCCACCACACCAAGCCTTAAGACAGTATTTCTTTTTGTTTTAAGATTAATCTTTTCATGTATGTTCCTGTGTGCATGCAAAGAAGAACATGAAGGTTCTTGGAGCCACACTCGTACCATTTTAGCTTGTGATAAAAGCTCATTTTGATAAGTGACAATGTGATTAAGACAGAAAAATTTTAAGTCCCAGTGAGCACCAGAAAGTTTCATATTTAAGATATTTCTTATTGATCATATATTGTTTGATTAGTCATAAAATGTAAGCTTTACCTTTAGCGTGGCATCTTTCACCATTTATATGTTTATCCATTGCTATAATCTCTATAAACTATTGTTTATTCATTTTCATCTGAACCTTTTGACTATTTGCTGCATACCTTTAAGGCCAAATAGCTTTCCCTAAACAACTCTTTTTTTGAATATTAAATAAAATGCAGTAGCTAACATGATATGGAAATAATATTTTCTTGTTTGTGAGTAGTCATAAAGCATACAATTATAAGCATAGTTCTTGACTTACTATGTACACACATTTATATTTATGTAGACCTGTGGGTTGTGACTCCTTGGAGGGTCATTTACAGGGGTCACATATCAGATAGCTACATTATGATTCTAAACAGTAGCTAAATCACAGTTAAGAAGTAGCTGTGAAAATAATTTTATGGTTGGGGTCACCACAGCATGAGGAGCTGTGTTAAAGGAGATGGAGAACTGTCCAGTTGATGGCCTTTTACCTGGAAGATGTAAGGGAAATGATGTGATGATTAATTTTCTAATATTGTTGGCTCATCACAGGAATTTTTTGCTTGGAAATAAGTTGTGGAAAAGTCAGAGCCTATTCTGGGTGAAAGGTGATTGAACTCTGAGTTGAAATGATATTAAATAGATTTTTTTCTGTGTTTCTGCAGTTTTTAAAGTATCCCCTAAAGTAATTTTCTTTTGTCAATTTATGCTTGCATGACACCATAGAATTCACCGGACTCTTCTAGTTAAAATACTTTTATTTTTCTCAAGAGAAACAATAGACAATTGAGTAACGCTAGCTTAATTTGAAAGAGATCCTAAGAAAATATGCTTCCATTCTTAGTCATGTTGGTTATATAGTGCTAAACCTTATTAGTTTTAGAAATCTTTTTCAATAGAAGTTAGTTGATAAGGAGCTGGAGAGCTAGGTCTTCTGGAAAAACATGTAAGAGCACTGGCTACTCCTCTAGAAGACCCATGTTCAAATCCCAGGCACCCACATGGCAGCTCACAACCACTTGTAACTCCTGTGTGTTAATAACTCCTCCGTTCCAGGGGAGTCCTCCAACCCTCCTGGCCTTCCTGTGCACTGTATATAGTGTAGACACATATACATAGGCAAAACACTATACATGAAATAAAAATAAATGAGGAAATTAAAAACACTCCATTGGTGAGTGTCATATTGCAGTGTTTAAATGGCTGCATTAACCTGCTCAGACATCAAGACCACTGACTAATCCAGGCATGGTTGTCTAGCCCGTGATGCCAGCACTTAAGCTGAGTGAGGAAGTCTCAGTTCAGGCTTTCCTGCCTACACAGGAAACAAAGAAGCTGGCACCAAGGCCACTTCCTTTTCTCATCTGAAGTAATGTGCCAAACTGCCTTTAAAATAAACCGATTTTATGTGGAGCCTTATTTATTCATTAATTTCATGTCTTAACATGAAATTTGGAACTATCTGTTCACTCTATGATAAGATCATTTTTGTATTCAAAAAGCAGTTATTTCTAAACCAATACCAGAACATTTAAGAGAAAGGACCCCAATTTTAATGCATATGAAGCTGTCTTTAAGTGAATTTTGTTTAAATATGCAGTATTATATTCAGAAATAATAGGCTTTTCAGATTACACTTCTTCCAGAGAGCTGGTGTTAAAGGAAAGGAGCAAGTTATTCTTTGCAGGGAAAGAAAACAAATAGGCAGTTATTAGTACACAGGTAGTAGTGAAAGATCCCTCTGACTTTTCAAAGTAGCCGGCGCTATAGGCTCTGTAGACTTGGGAACCAGTTCAGATGTGATGCACAGGTCAGGATGCTGTAGTCTGAAACCTTCTATACTGAAGGAGTTCCATACTTTCTTCCTTTGAAGGAAGAAAGAAATCTCAGCTGCTTTCTAGAGTCTTCAAAGTATGTGCTTGAATTGCCATGCGTATGAAACTGTTCTGAACAGACTTTTTGTTTACATATTCACATTGTGGAAGGAGCTAGGTCTGGAGCTAGGTCTGGAGCATGCTAATCCAAGGTAGCGGGAAAGCAGCAGTATGTTGTTCAGTTGCTCACATTTTATTCTCCCAGCCCTGCAGGGTTGTTTCATCCTCCTCAGCCACACTGCCCTGGGTGTTGTGTGGATTTAGGTTCTCTAGACCGTTTTCCTGTTGAAAACATTCTACACAGATAACCATGTTCACTGAATCTGTCTTAACAGTTCAAGTGGTGAAACTAAACTCTGGAGTGGCTGATGGAATTGGGGCAGCTGTCCCCCATAACTGATTAGCACCGGTGCTCTGGAATCCGATGTTAGGGCTTAAACCCCCTTTCTACCACTTCGATTGGTCACAGTGACAGATGTATTGCTATTTCTGTCTTGTTTGTCACCTCAAGTTGTTGTTTGAGAATGAAATGAGGTAATATAGCTAGTAAATATTAGTAGATAGTAAATGCTTAGCTGTTAGAGGATGTATGTAGTGTTGTAAACAATAAAGCTCACTAAATCACCTTGTTTGCTTTTAGGTTTTTAAAATGAAAAGTTACAGACTATCACAGGGCACTTGCTAAAGCTTAAAATATATAGATGTCAGAGATATCTGTAACTGGAGATTATATAGGCCAAGGGTTGGGAAATTGGTAGGATACCACTTGATTTTATTGAAAATGAAAGCAAACCACTTTATGGGACTCATTCATTTCTGGCCACTTTTACATTATAATGAGAAACTGAGTGATGAGAGACTGTATGGCTTACACAGCCAACTATTGTAATCTAGCCTTCTGCCAAAAGAGTGTGTTTATCCGTCTTATAAACTCTACAAGCTCTGTTGGCCTCTAGAGGACTCTTGAGGATATTTTGATGCCTGTCTAACGTAGTCTGAGAAGTGCTAGGCCATGAGCTATATGAGAAAAGTACATATCTGAAGTACCCATAACATTTAAAAATTCTCACACCAGCTAATTTAACATCACTGGGATCTGAATTTGGAAAGAACTACGTGATTTATTAAAACTTGAAAGTGCCACAGTTGCTGACCACTAAACTAGACTGCTTTGGAATGTGTTAATGATGGCCCCTTACAGACCTCTGAGGTTCCAGTTTGGAATTGAATACAGTCTCTTTATCGCTGGTTTGTGAGTGTTTAGTGGCCTAAAGATGTGCCTACTGTTTGGTTAAACTTTCTTTCAAGTCTTAAACACATTTGGAAATACCTATCGGTCTCCCTCTGATATCATGGCAGTGGTGAGGTAAAATTTATGGGAAGTGGAGGGGTTTATGCTTCCTTTCCCTAGGAATTAATGGGCAGGGAAGGGACAGAGACTGTTAAGGTTCTTGGTTTTAGAAAAGGGGCAGGTGAGGAACAGTGGCTTATGTAGAAGAATGTATCCCATGATTACATAATAATCATGTAAAAATCCTGAGATCCTGTGTGAGTGTGTATGTGTTTCCCCATGTGGCTGCATGTGTATGCCATAGACTGACATCCAAAGGTACTCCTCAGTCATGTCCCTCCCTGTCATTCAACCTGGAGCTTGCTCTTTCCTAACTGGCCGGCCAGCGAGCCCACAGGATCTGCCTGTCTCTGCGAGAGTGCAGGGGTTACAGGTGCACACCACAAGTCCAGCCTTTCCGTGGGTGCTGGGGATCTAGATATAGCTCCTTATGCTTATGCAGCAAGAGCTTAGCCTACTGAGCAACCCTCCCCTAGCTGGTACTCTATTTAACCTGTCTTGAAGTGATTTCAATGTTAAGAATTTACCTTTTAAGACAAAATCTGCCAGGTCTTCCAGACTGACTTCAATCTTAAACTTAATTCTTCTGTCTCAGTTTCCTGAGTGCTAGGATTATAGATAGGTATATACTTTCTCACCCAGCCATTCCTATGTTTAATTTAAAAAAAGATCCACAGAACTTATGCAAGAAGAGTGTTAAGGAATCAGATTGCAGCTGTCAGACTTTGCAATCATATGCCCTTCAGCATCTTGTAAAGAATATTAATTCTAGCCACGTTTAGAATGAAATGCCTGTGTGGAAGACTAGGGTAACACCAAGTGACTTTATTTCTCCTTCTCTAAAATGTCTAGGCATTTCAGTCGAACGATGGAAGAGCTTGTTCATGACCTTGTCTCTGCACTGGAAGAGAGCTCTGAGCAAGCTCGAGGTGGCTTTGCTGAGACGGGAGATCACTCTCGCAATCTGTCTTGCCCTCTCAAACGCCAGGCCAGAAAGAGGAGAGGGCGGAAGCGGAGGTCCTATAATGTCCACCACCCCTGGGAGACTGGCCACTGCTTAAGCGAAGGCTCTGATTCTAGTTTAGAAGAAGCAAGTAAAGACTACAGAGAGAACCACAACAATAACAAGAAGGATCATAGTGACTCCGATGACCAAATGTTAGTGGCGAAACGTAGGCCATCTTCAAACTTAAATAATGGTGTTCGAGGGAAGAGACTCCTGTGGCATGAGTCTGATTTTGCTGTGGACAACCTTGGGAACAGAACTCTCCGCCGGAGGAGGAAGGTAAAGCGCATGGCAGTGGATCTCCCACAGGACATCTCCAATAAAAGGACAATGACCCAGCTGCCTGAAGGCTGTAGAGATCAGGAAATGGACAACGAAAGAGCTTACCAGTACCCAGAGTTTACCCGGAATAAAGTTAAGAAAAGGAAGTTGAAAGTGGTTAGACAAGGACCAAAAGCCCAAGAGGAAGGAGTGGTTTTGGAGAGTGAAGAAACGATCCAGACCAATAAGGACAGAATGGAGTATGAAGAACAGAAAATCTCCGATGAGCTCATGAGTGAAAGGTAACATGTTTGTCTGCATGCCTGGGGCTGAGTGTGTTTTATATTTTAATTAATTCTTTTAAGATAATTATAACCTGCATAATGATAGTGGTATTACTTTGTAACTAGATATATATTTCTTTATAATTTATAGCATTTTCACACAAAGAAAAATTGCTTATTTGATTTATTCAAAGTGTTAGTTGTGTTATAACTGTCTTAATTTTCAGCTATAAAGAGAAAAAAGAAATGACTTTTCTATGGGAAAAGATTTGCTTTTGAGCCACTGCTCTTTGGGATATCTCACTGTCCATGTCATTATGCAGCTTCAGCCTTTGAAGAATTTTAGGGTGCATATTCATTATTTTGATTCCTGATGTTGAAAATTCAAACATGTGGTATATGAGGCTTGGTATTAATCTGTAGCTTGCTAGGGAATTCTGATCACTAATGAGCTATTAAGACCTGATTTATGGCGTGGAAGCAGCAGAGTTTGGTCCTTAGAAAGATGGGAATTGTAGCATTTGTGTGTTAGTAAGGTGTCCACCCATCTCAGGAAGCAGACCAGCTCTAGTCTAATTGCCATGTGCTCCTTGCAGGGCAGCTCAGAGTGAACCTCTGCCGTTTATCCAGCTGCTTGTGAGAGCAGCAGCGCTCCTCGTCCTGTTCGTCACAGCCCTCAGTGTCTGATGGCCAGAAAGCAATGGTCCCAGAGAAAGCATGTGACTTTTAACTTGTAGCATTGGCCTCATTTTGGTCTTGGCGATCATGGGCTTTAGATATTTGGCTATATGTGGGTGTGTTTGCAAGTGTGACCACAGTTAATAGGACCCAGCTGGAGGTGACAGAGTTTATTAGACAGCTTACTGTCTACAGAGTTTTTCCTCAAAAGTAAAAAAGCTTTTGAAGAAGGTTTTGAAAAGTTGTTGTCTTTTAAGGAAGTCATTGTTTTTGTTCAAGGAATAGGGTGTGTGGTATTCTGGTACTGGATCATTATCACTGAGGAGTGCTTAGCTAAAAGCCCTTAGCTCTGTTGCCCATTGCTGAGGGTGTGTGGCCGTGCAGTAACAGTTTGACTTCTGGGCTTTGTACAGATTGCCTGCTTTTCTGGTTGATTGTGGAAGCCCCTCCTTTTTGTTTTCTATGTCTTCTTTTTATTCATCTGTTTCTTACACTTTCTACCCTGGAACAATAATGAGGTGTTTCTTCTTCTTTCCAACAAAAATCAGGGTCAAGTAGGTATATCAGGTTTCCCAGTTATTCACCTGTCAGGTACATAGTTTAAATATGATATTTTAAATAAAATAATGTTAACTATATTTCCTCTGATTTAAACTTTTCTTTATACCAGTTTTCTGTTACCACTTAAGGGCTCTGTGCAATTTCTTCTGTGGGAAGGATTGCTACAGAGTGAAGGAATCTTCTATTTCCAAAGTTTTCCAATTTAATAAGGTTTCTGTTTCTTGGATTTGATTTATAAGTAGAAAACTGTATGTGTGTAGCATTTGATGGCTGCAGTGTACATTGCTAGCTCAAAGGCTCATGATACAGACTCTCCGCCATGCCCTCGGCTGGAGTAGGCAGACAAGCAAGCATTGAGAACAGGACACACTATGTCAAAGGCACTTGTGAACGAAGGCTTCTCACAGGAACTGTGTTTCGAAGCGTGAAGCAGACTTGTTCAGAAAAGGAGGAATGAAGTTTCAGCCAGGAAGTGGCATGACTGGAAGAAACAGCCTGTGTGAAGACATAGACTGTCAGATCAGTGTAGGGTAACCTGCAGCTCATTGCCACGAAGAAGTAAAGGGGATCTGGGCCATAGTAGCAGCATTTCTTGAGGGTCTGTGTGGTTTAGATTTCATGTAGGCAGTGGGAAGTTCTGGCAGTGAAGAAACTTAGGACAACAAAATCTTGGCAGTAGTGTTCTGTTTACTTTTGGCTGACCTCAATCAATACAGCGAAGGGTAAATTATGTCTGTGCTGGTACTTGGGACCTATTTTAAGAGTAAAACTCAATGGGAAGCTGCAGTGGGAAGCTGCAGTGGGAAGCTGCAATGGGAAAGCTGCATTGGGGAAGCTGCAATGGGAAGCTGCAGTGGGAAGCAGCAATGGGAGCTGCAGTGGGAAAGCTGCAGTGGGACGCTGCAGTAGGAAAGCTGCAGTGGGAAGCTGCAGTGGGAAGCTGCAATGGGAAGCTGCAGTGGGAAGCTGCAATGGGAAGCTTCTGTGGGAAGCTGCAATGGGAAGCTGCAGTGGGAAGCTGCAATGGGAAGCTTCTGTGGGAAGCTGCAGTGGGAAGCTGCAGTGGGAAGCTGTATTGGGAAAGCTGCATTGGGGAAGCTGCAATGGGAAGCTGCAGTGGAAAGCTGCAGTGGGAAGCTGCAATGGGAGCTGCAGTGGGAAAGCTGCAATGGGAAGCTGCATTGGGAAAGCTGCATTGGGAAGGGTATTGCTCCAAATTGAGCTTGGTTTCTAGTCATAATGAGCCAAATGAAAAGGAGAATTAGTCGTAATATATACACTTTTACTCGTAGAATATGTTCTCATCTAAGTAATAGTTACAAAAATTATTTCCAAAGCAGAGAGATACTGTATCCTCGCAGATGAATCGTCATGGCCACTAGCTCCTGGAAATAAAAAGCCTTTCTTGTTAAATTCTTGTTCTTAATGAACATAGCAACAGGGAAGTACATGCAGCAACTGGGTAGTTATAAGACAAGAAATTTGTTTTATGTGTCCATAAAAAATTACCTTAGTGTAAAGCAAGGATCTTTAAAGAGTGGTATTGCAGAATCTAGATTTCCACATATCTTGAGATTCATCAGGTTGTGAACAGAGGTAGGCATGCTTCTTAGAGGAAGAAGAAGCAAGAGTAGCAGACATAAGAATGGAAAGAATTGACAAGGAAACCCACCCATAGAAAGCCTTGAAATCTAAATTTAATTCTCCAAGTATAAACTAACTTTTTTTTAGCTGTCATCTTAGGTGGTCTACGAATGTATGAATGTGGTTCTGACCTTTTTTTTTTTTTTTTTTTTTTGGTTTTTCGAGACAGGGTTTCTCTGTGGTTTTGGAGCCTGTCCTGGCACTAGCTCTGTAGACCAGGCTGGTCTCGAACTCACAGAGATCCGCCTGCCTCTGCTTCCCGAGTGCTGGGATTAAAGGCGAGCGCCACCATCGCCCGGCTGTTCTGACCTTTTTAGAAGAGTATGTCTAAGTTTATAGAAATATCACTATGACAGTCTGCGGAGTTCGTGCCTTTTACATTCTCATACTCCAAGCCTATTTCTTTTACAATTCCTTTTTTACACCACTCTGATACCTCCACCACAGTTAGTGAGTATGGATGTGTTTTATCTTTTACGTCAGTATTTTATTGGAATCACTTTGACTGTATTTAAAATGGTTTTCTTCTGTTCCAGGGTACCGTGCTTGAACCTGTAGTCAAAAGTGAAAAGTCAAAAGTGTAGTCAAAAGTGAAAATGTGAACCTGACTGTATGTAGACTAGATTAGAAGATGGTAAATCTGAACCCAGAAAACCGTGGCAGCTGGAAAATAGCAAACTGACTCATGGTTTGCAGGCTGTAAAATACTTGCTCACTGTGGTCAGACTTAACCTGGCTTATATTTCGTAAGCTTATTCATTGGACTAATTGAGAGACGGCTGATCTGATTATGGAGTGCTAGACTAGACTTCTGGGGACATTATAGAGTATGCCTTCGTGGAATGTGAGGGATTCTAATTTTAACTACGTTTATCTTGGGGGTTTCAGAAAAGGAATTATGTGTGGGGTGTGTTTAAGGGCTTTGGGTTGTAAGGAAAACGAGAAGCAGTAATAGTTTGGATAACTACTACAAAGCAAGATGATCAACCTTCTGAGGTGTTTTTCATTTTTATGTAAGGCCTCTGTGCTTGTAGATAGGATGGTGTGGATTCGGTACCTTAGAAATGCTGTTGCTCATTGATTGAGAAGGAACTTCATGTAGTCTGTGTGAAGGAAGTTGGGGGGAAATGTCCTAACTGAAGCTCCGAGAAAAGAAATTCTTATGTCTTTCATGAATGTATCTTTGAAAAGCAAATAAAAACTAATGTTTTGTATGCAAAAAATAGTGGATTTAGATCTTAGCAATGATTTGGTCATATATTTTATAACTTTTTAAAACAGGCTAATGAACCTGATTTTTAATAAGCTAGGCTACATTGTTTCATATATTAATAGATAGAATATTTTTTGTTTAGAGCTTGAGGTAAAGGCATTTTCACCAAGCCCATTGCCCTGTGTTTGATTTTCAGAACTTACATGGCAGAATGAGAGACCTGACTCCCATAAGTTATCCTTTTACCTCCTTGTACATATCTCAGCATGCAAGCACATATGTATACACACACACACATATGCAGGCACACACAAATACTTTTTTTAAAGACTATTTTAATTTAAAAAATCATTAGTGACAATTTCCTAGTTGATTAAAATCAAAAATTAAGTGTAAGAAAGTACATGAGTGCTTTTAAAAACAACAATTTTCTTAGGGATCAAGGTTTTTAATGACATGTTCTTATTTTCTTCCTGTTTTCAATTAATTGGATTGTCGTATAAATATTGCTTTTATTAGATTAATGGCAGTTGTTTTTCTTTTTTTTTTGCTGAGTATCTGTTATATACTGAATTTCCATATTAAATTTGAACCTGTGTCTTATTCTCCAGTTTATGTAGGACAGGAAACCTTAATAATGGCCTAAAATTTTCTCTGTTGTTTCCCCTTGAGCTAATAGGCAGCCACCAGTACTCCCTTCTTGTGAGGCATGGAGTTGCCTTGACTTGTTGAGAGTGACTCTTTTAGATTATTGGTAATGGGGTTATGGAGATCATTTCATCCCAGGCCCTGGTGTTTCTGTGCCGAAGACTGGAGACTCCCTTGTCTCAGCGAGCACTGGTGCTCCAGGCTCAGGCTGCTCACACAGCACAGGAGAGGAGAGGAGCAGTGAGCAGCTGATGAAAGCAGGTAATAGAATGTGTCCCTTATGTCAGCGCCTCCTCGCCGTCACATCTGGCTTACTGTCCAGGTCCCATTAGATTTCTTAGGTTTTATGTGCCAAAAATAATATGTACTGTAGTTAATGGAAATGGAATATTTGCAGTTTGAGTAAAAAAAAATCTTATGTTTTTTTTTCAGATCTTTGTCAGGCTCAAGTTCCAACTCTGAGCTGCCATGTCTCTAAAATGACTGATAGATCAATTGTTCTTTTGATCTGTTTCCTTTTTCATCTTTTCCTGGTTACAGTGACTCCAGCAGTCTCAGCAGCACTGACGCAGGCTTGTTCACCAATGACGAGGGAAGACAAGGTACTGAGATACTGTTTTCCCTTAAAAACAAACATTTTAAAGTTGTGCATATGTAAGCCGCCCACAATAACCCCTTGCTGTTACAAGTACTGTGTAGTGCCTTAGCTGGCTTCTCTACTTTGTGGAAGGCGTCTTGGCTTCCTAACACAATAATAGATGTCTAAAATGTAGCATGTGTTACTCAGCTTTGCGTACTTCAGTGTTTGCAGCTTGGTCCCTTTTAGCAAGATTGCCAGACATAGATGCTTATTCTCCACCTTATTCCAGATGTCTGTAAGACTGTGTAAGCTCTCCTAAGAGTGGATTTACCATTCAGTTGTCACATTTATAATTAAGTGACTTTTATTAATTCAGTATTATAAACTGTTAAACATAACTATCTTACGGTCTTTTCTATCCTCCAACTTTCCAGAATTTGTCACACTTCACCATGGCAGTGTTTCGGAGCTGTGAACAGTCTGAGAACCTTGTGAAGGAATGAGGAGTCGCCCTTTCTTGGGCTGATCTCATTTAGTTACATCAGCCCACAACCTGTTCTCGCTTATGCTTTGTTCAAATCATAACATTGAACTAACCTTCTGTGTACTTAGCACAGAGGTTTCCTGTTTTCTTAAGAATGCATTACTGGGGACAGGAGTAGTAGCTTATCCTCTTAATCCGTGCATGTAGAAGGGGCAGAGGCAGGGAGATGTCTATGAGATCTAGGCCAGCCAGGGCTACTTAGTGAGACCCTGTCTCTAAAATCAAACAAACCAAACACACAACAACAACATAAAGAATACATTAGCAGAAAGTACAGAAAGAAACAATATATTTATTGTTTTAAATTATGAATCATTTAGTGATTTTTTTATGGGGGAAGTCACAGTAATGTTGCCCGTACTGTCTCTTGCACCTTGTTGGTAAGGAAAGCAGAGTGGCCCTTCTTGCCATTTGCCAGTAAATGCATGTTGAGACTATCTGGACTATGTCAGTAGAACTACATTGGTAATAGACTTAAGTTTTGTTAAAATACAGAGCTTACCCAGGTTATGGAGGTTAATGATATGACATAAGCTTTCGTCAACATCTTTAGAAGGAACTGACTTAAGATACAACAGTTATTGCGACTTTACTGTATCTCACATTGCTGAGATATTTTCTAGCATTTAATTTACTTTGTTCTCACTTGATTTTATTCTTTAAGCACTATGTGTGTTCCCAATCTTTATATTTTTTTAAGTGGGGGAATTAATGAGGTTGAAATGACTATCTCAATGCTGTAGGTCAATGGGTTTTCATTCCCCTATCTGGGTGTATGCCCAAGATTTTGGTGACTGTTTAATTTACTTTCTAAGAATAATGTTGTATATCACATACAAGTAAAGTCAAAAGTCTTCATTTTTCTAGAGGTTTTTTTTTTTTTATTTGTTTGTTTTGTTTTTCTTTCTGAGATAGGTTCTGTATTTACATAGCACAAGCTGGCCTTACATCCCTGAACTGTACCTCAGCCCCCTAAGTAAAGTAGTGGGCGTAGGGCGCAGTGTTCATGGTAATTCAGATGTAAGCTGGTCAGTCTCAAGTGAGTCCCCGCTTACCTTTCATAGACCTGCTCTGCACCATTTAAGTCTGTCTCTCCTGTGAAAAGTTTTGTAAATTTTAACAAAATATTTTTTATTCCCTAATTCAAACAGTCTGTGGTTCTCATTTTACAATTGCTTTTAACTTTTGCTGTTTATGTGAACTACATCTGTTTGTCATATACCATTCTCTGCTTATATTTTGCTGCTTTTTTGGCATTGTTTTTGTTTCATGATTGCAGTTTCCATTTTATATTTTTGGTTGTGAACCTAGCCTTTAATGGCTGAGCCATCTCTCTGGCCCAGTTTCCATTTTAAAATTTATAGTAATTTATAAAATTTATATATACACTCAAAAGTATCATAAAAAGGAAACGATGGTCACTTATGCAAACTCTTAAGGAATCCCACCAGTACTGGTGGCTTCTTTTGATCCTAGGAAGATTTAGTGACTCATTTTAAATTTTACCTTTCTCTTATTTTTATAAGCTGACTACATTTTGTACTTTTAATCTTTTTTATCTGTTTAAATCTCAAGACAGAACATTGATACTCACTGAGGTTAAGTGCATTTTAGATGGTCAGTTATAATACCCTGGTACTCCATCGTCAATATTAGTGAGTAAATGTTGTTCTTCATCTGTTTCCATGGTTAGACTGAGTCTTTTGGGAACATTGTCTTTGCACAGGTGATGATGAGCAGAGTGACTGGTTCTATGAAAAGGAGTCAGGTGGAGCCTGCGGCATTGCTGGAGTTGTGCCCTGGTGGGAAGAGGAGGATCCTGCAGAGCTAGACAGAAACTTACCTGACCCTGTGTTTGAAAGGATCCTAAGTGGGTCTTTCCCCCTCATGTCACATCCTGGCAGAAGAGGTCAGTAGTATTTCCTAAGTGCTGGCTCGTGTCTGCTTACGGTTCTTACTGGGGTTTTCACCGAAAGGGTAGATTAAAATGGAAACTGATGTAGGTGGGTCTTCTATCTATCTGTTGTTTCATTGGTTAATTAATAAAGAAAACTGCTTGGCCTGATAGGTCAGAACATAGGTAGGCGGGAAAGACAGAACAGAATGCTGGGAAGAAGAAGGCAGTGAGGCAGACGCTATAGCTCTCCTCTCCAAAATGGACGTAGGTTAAGATCCTTCCCAGTAATCCACCACCTTATGGTGCTACACAGATTATTAGAAATGGGTTAATTAAGATATGAGAGTTAGCCAATAAGAGGCTGAAACTAATGGGCCAAGCAGTGTTTAAAAAAAATACAGTTTCTGGCCGGGCGGTGGTGGCTCACGCCTTTAATCCCAGCACTCGGGAGGCAGAGGCAGGCGGATCTCTGTGAGTTCGAGACCACCCTGGTCTACAGAGCTAGTTCCAGGACAGGCTCCAAAGCCACAGAGAAACCCTGTCTCGAAAAACCAAAAAAAAAAAAAAAAAAAATACAGTTTCTGTGTAATTATTTTGGGTAAAGCTAGCTGTGCGGGAGCAGGGCGGGACGAAAAGTAGGCCCGCTGCTCCTCACTACAGGAAACAGAATATAAACACAGAATGCTGTAGAGAAATGTGCTGGACCCTAATCCAGGTACTGTACTCATCCACTGTGACTCATCAGGAAGGTGTTAATAGGATGTGAACTGGGGAAAAGAGAGTACTTAACCTCTGAGTACTGGCTAGTTAGGACCGACTGCATTAGAGCCCTGCTGGGAATCACCTCCGTTCTTTTAAGTGTGTTTCACGTTTTCCCCAGTAATAGTCTTGGTGCTACCACTATCAGCAACTTAGCTTGAATTCTCTGTGGCTAGGATCTTCTAAATTGCCTGTTTCATTTCCCAGGTTTCCAAGCTAGACTCAGTTGCCTTCATGGAATGCCTTCCAAGAATATGAAAAAATCTGGAGGGGCTCCACCTTCAATGGTAGGCATGCTTTCTTATTGAATTGTCATGTTTGGAAATGTTTCCATTTCTGTGGAATAAAAAGTCACATCCTCGCCCTTTATTTATATTCTAATGTTATACTTAAAAGTAATCCATTTTTTTGTAGGCTACAAACTGGACCAGTGAGATTCCCCTATAAATCAAATCTTCTATTGCTAATAAATTAGTTACGTTTTGAACACCTGGGGAATGGCATTCGAGGGAACCTGGCTCCTGTCCTCTTCCCTGGAGGAATACACTGAAGGGCGAGCCTTTGATGCAGACCTGGGCTGTTTTGCTGCAGGACTGATGTTCTTTTCTTTAGCCAGAAATCAGTCTGATTGGGGAGGCTTCCCTGAGATGTAGGCTGGCCAAGGGTGGATAAAAACTACTGTATATTTTATATATCTTTCTCTCTTATGGTTTTTAACATTGGATCTATTTATGTATTGCTTGCTTTGCCAAATGCTAACAAAAAGAAAATTGGAAACTATATTTAACCCAAGTATTCCTTAATATTTCTATGACTGGTTAAGGTTCAGTTTTTATATCTGACATGTAAATAAAAAATGATGTATTGCCATTTATAATTCATTTTACAAAAAGGCTTCTATACCAGCATTATCTAAAATACTTGTGTTTTTACTCAGGGTACTTTCTTTAATAAGGGCTGGTGTAAATAGGTGAGGTTGATAGCCTTTAACTCAAGTTTATCTTTGTTCAGTTGACTTCTTACTTGAATAGTTGTTCTGTATTACAAGCCTGTTGTATTTTATGCTATAATTTTCATCCTACCTCTAAAACAGCACAGTGATGACAAACCAGTCCCCATTAGGGGGTCACCTGCTGCCACTTTTTCAGTGGTGTGTGTCTGAGCCCTGAACTAGTCACAGCTGCCTCACTGGCTCAGAGCTTGATGACATAGGAGCCTGGCATTTTAACAATACTGCATGGCTGAACCTCACTGTCACGTCTAAAGCGCGATGCTGGTTCATCCTTGAATGGCTCATGTGTGCCTGAGTTTTAGAAATACGTGCGTCAGCTCATTGTCATCAAGCAGGAGGGAAATACATTTCCGTTGACAGCATTAATCTTACATTATGCTAATTCAAGTCACTTGAGTTCTTTAAAATAGTTACTTTAATTTGATTAATATTTTTCTTGGGCTGGAGAGATGGCTCAGAGGTTAAGAGCACTGCCTGCTCTTCCAAAGGTCCTGAGTTCAATTCCCAGCAACCACATGGTGGCTCATAACCATCTGTAATGGGATCTGGTACCCTCGTCTGGCCTCCAGGAATACACGCAGACAGAATATTGTATACATAATAAATAAATAAATATTAAAAAAAATATTCTCTCAAATTCCTATAATTGATAAGGTCTTGGTAATTTGATGTTTTCGTATTGTATGGCTTAATATTCAGCTCAGCATTTAATGACTAAATTAAATATAATGGAAAGGAAACTTAAAGTTGACATTACCTTTTCTAAAATTACTGTGGTCTGAAAGGTTTAAAAATAAACAAAGTAGGAATGTATGACAACCTCTCTGGAGATGTTAAAGATGACAGGGTGCAAGTTGACCCTCCTGATTGTCCTAGATTTAAAAGTGTAATGATGTGCTTCATAATTGTATTAGGATTTTCATACTGTCTAAGAGCAAAAATTCATGTTTTTCTGAATTCCAAAATGCTTTTGTTTTGTATGATGACTGTCCTTTAGATCTGAATAAGTCACTTTAATGCCTCAGCTTGTGAACTTTGCCTCACCAATCATGAATCTAGATGAATGCTATCTAATTCTTGGCTCAGTTTTACCTATTTTTATTTTTGGTCCACTGCTTGCTTGAGCATTGCTGGGATTTGTAGCCCATTTTCTAGGCTTATTGAAGTCTCACTGTGGTATTTTATAGGAGCTATTACAACTGATAGACTGGCTTCATGGTGTTGATGATACATGGCTGTGCCATCCTCAAAGCTGCTTTTCCGTCTAAATTGTAGAGGTGATTAGACTTCACTTCATGGAGATTTCTATATATGTGTGTTTAACATGGAGCGAGTGCATTAGGCCATGAACTGTTTTCCAGGTCTACAATGTGTATTCAGAATTTTACTGAAATCAGAGGACTCCTGAAGGTTTTTTCTCTCGACCCTGAATTGTCCTTGTTTAGATCTTTATGTACTGTATTTTTTTGTAACCAATAAAAATCTCTGACTTGAGCAAAAAAGGTAAGATTCTCAGTTTGTGCTAATAGTTTTCTACTTCTCTATATGTTTTTGATAATAGTATACGTAGCTTGCTACCTTAAACAAACCTAACCCGCTAAGACAGTAATTAAGGGGTATCCATTTTTTCTTTTAGTAAGAAGTTAATTTCAATTAGCATAGATTCACCCTGGAAAGCCAAAGTTTATATAAGAAAGATTAATGTTAGGAGCAAACTGCAACATGCGTGGCTGTAGCCCATTAAGAAGCGTGGCAGCAGAGGATTTTCAGTTGGCGAGTGGCACCTGCATGCATACAATAGCACCTACATGCGTACAGTGATAGAACACCTGCATGCATACACGAATACCTACATGCATACAGTGATAGAACACCTACATGCATACAATAGCACCTCCATGCATACAGTGATAGAACACCTGCATGCATATACTAGCACCTACATGCATACAGTGATAGAACACCTTCATGCATACAATGATAGAATGCATGTGGAGGAAATGGCAGTGGGAAATAACTAAAGTTTGGGGCAATCTCAGTTCTTATTCCTCACAGGCATGTTCAGTGAAGTCACTGTACTCATTTAAGGAATCAGAAGCCATTGCTCCTACAGCAAAGCCAGGTTTGGGTTCTGTGTGGCTCTTAGGTCCTCATGTTCCATCAGCTGACGGAACAATGTTGTGTGGGTTTGTGTTTAAAGCTATTTACTGTGTGTAGTTGATTAGCTTATGGGTAATAGCACCATCACCAAAGCCTGAACAAAGCTTCTCTCACATGCATTTTCTCCATAAGGCTTACTGTGGCCTTCTCATGCTTAGTAACAATGATGCACTCCACATTCAGCCTGAATGTGGGGCCACTGAAAGCAGTAAAATCACCAGAAAAAGCACAGAAATTCAATAAGCCAGTCCTCAGTAGATGACACTAATGGCCTTGTTTCCGGTGTCCGCTGCGGGAAGGAGGCTGACCTTGTTCTTCTCTTCTGCGAGTGCTTGTTGGAAGGCAGCTCAGATTTTCACTGCTCTGCACACACCCATGAATATCTGCAAAAGTTCTGAGTGTTGGCTTTCAGGTTGCAAATAAATTTTAGCTGGTAGATCATCTTTCATACTTGGAATCTGTAAGGAGGATTCTGTGGGAAGCAGTAGTAGTGTAGAGCAGTGGTTCCCGACCTCTGGGTTGCGACTTCCACGGGGTCACACACCAGATATCCTGCATATCAGATATGTACATTATGATGCATGACAGTAGCAAAAGTACAGTGTAATAAAGTAGCAATGAAAGAATTTTTTGGTTGGGGTCACCACACATGAGGAACTGTATTAAAGGGCTGCAGCATTAGGAAGGTTGAGAACCACTCCTGTAGAGTATTATAGACCTTGAAGTCATGTATTCGTGAGTTCACTGTGGTTGGTTCTTAGTATTACTTAGACAGACATTGTGAACCTCAGTTTCTTTTGTGAAATACAGACACTATTTTCTTTATAGAAGTGCTGTTGGGCTTAAATGAGGTTAGAGTACATGTACAGCCTTAGGTCTGTCTTTGCCACATGGTGTATAATAAGTGATAGTTGTCGAAGATAGTTGGGAGCAGAACTTAAAATTTTTAGCATGAACCCAAGTGTAGAATGTAACCTTAAACTTTTTGATACATATTTTACATATGATTTGACATTACCTTAATAGAGTAGTTTATTTTATATGCCTTTAGGCTTCTTTTGTATCTTGTTTATCTTTGATTTGACTTTTGTCTTTAATATAGTCTGAAGAATTGTTCTGGATGAATTTTGGTTAACAAGTTCTTAAATCTTAAAATTGAAAAAAGTGATTTTTAAAAAAAGGAGTTGTGCCCATGTAAATGTGAGATCACAAGCCTGAGCATCTACTGTTGATAAGAATTCCTCGCAGGCGTGGAGGTAAATACTAGTAATGCCAGCACTTGAGAGGTGGAGGCCAGAGAACCAGGCCTTAAAGATCATCCTTGGTAATAAAGCAAAATTGAAGTCAGCCTGTACTATATGAGACCCTGTTTCAAAAAAGCAAGAGAGAATTACTACTGTTGTATGGTTTAAACTCCAATTTATTGGTACCCTGCTAGCCAACCGTTTATTACCTAATTTTAGGAGCATTGTTACTTCCGTGAAATGTCTTAGGGTTATCACCCAGGAGATAGAGCTTGAATCCCTGTCATTTCTAGACTGCACTCATTAAATACAGTTCAGAATGGTAACACAATAACGATACTGGAATCAAGTTTGAAGAGACGATTTTTACAGCAGGAATTCGAGGATCCTTAATACAAGGAGGCTTTCCACTTAACCAGGATGTACTACTGTTTTTTGACAGGATCTCACTTGTTAGCTCTGGTTGTCATGTGCGGGCCAGACTGGCTTTGAACTCACAGAGATCACTTGCCTCTTCCTAGTGCTGGGATTAAAGGTGTATACCACTACATCTGGCTCAGAATATCCTACCTTGAGTATTCCAATGAACCTGTGTTTTCTGAGGCTGAGAGATTTTTAAATTCTGTTCTTATTTTGTTTTGAACTAGTGATTCATCAACAGGTATAATATCCACTAAAGTTACTCAGATTATTCTGACTGCTGAAAGATTGTGGGACAAGACTCATCTTACACATAGTGTTTGAAAACTGTTAATTACATAAGACTGCTTAACATGTTGACAGTTGCTTGAAGACCAGTTCTCATGTGATTACAAGACATGTAAAATACTGGTGGTGTTTTTTTTTTTTTTTTTTTTTTTTTCCAAGAAAAAAAAAAAGAATCTAAAAGAATCTGATTTAGTTGATTTCCTGATGTTTACAATTTCAAGTTTAAGTGTATGAACAAGACTGGGGTTGCCATGCCACACTGCTCATGCTGACAATACCTCGTGCCACCCAGAGCGTAGGAGGTGTTCTTGCTCCAGGACTGGAGGCAGCTCCTTCAGGGGCTGACCATGAAAAACTGTTGTAGGTGCCTCAAATGATGTTGACAGTGACCATCTTACTGCACTGTTTGTGGTGCTGTAAGAGAAGGAGGGTATTTAAGCTCTCTATAACCTTTTACTGAGAAGGCTCATTTAAAATGGATTGGTTTGAATAAGGGATTTAAATAACCTATTTTCTCAGACTAGTCAAAGCGAAAAGAGTTTATGACAGAAAATAAATCTAAAATGACGTAAAATTACACACAGCCTGTGTCTGCAACTGTATTTTGATTTTATGGTGACTATTATCCAAGCTTTTGTTACTGGAATTCAGCAGCTGGACCCTTTATTATCAGCTTTCTGCTTGGAAATTTGTATTCCTAGAACATTTTTGTAGACTTTGGAGAATGTATGTTTTAGAAAATTTTATTCTAAGTATGTTATGTGTTAATTTCATTTTCTTCTCAGTATCAGTTTGAGATCTAGATTTTAAGATATTTTCATCTTAGAAAATTGAAATAAAATTGGCTCTGTATTATAGAAAAGTACAAGTTAATAAAATGGTAATATTTCTTAGAAGAAATCTAATAGTGTTTGTTTGCTTTAAATTTTTTATTTTGATGTTACTCTATGTTTTGTATTGTAAAATTTAATAACAGTTGATAACTAAAATGTAAATTCCTTAACACTCCATATTATCAGATAGGATCAATATTAATCGTGATATTCTTGGATTATATTTTATTCAATGTGAAGCTTACATATGTTTAATAGTATATAGTACTATATTCACTTATTCACATATCTGCATTCGAATGCTGGTGTTCTCCATATTCTTAAAAGCTTCTTAAAAAACATATGTACAGATAATCATGATATTTTGATGATACAAGATGTGTATATTTTCCATAGATTAAAATATTTGTGCTTGCCGCTCTGATGACCTAGTAGAGGTGTAGACTCGCCTGTTGGAATTTAGGATCTTCCAAATGGTGTAAATGTACACTGTGAAACACATTACAACCCTTACTGTGTGCTAGATACTTTCTGTGTATTGTTTATATATTTAAATTAATATGATTAACATTCCTATGATATAGGTTTGTGTTTATATCTTAAACTGTTTTTCTTTTGGTAAACCAAAATTAAAATGATTTGGAAGTTTCTTTATATTGCTGTCATGTTGCTAATAAATATAAATAAATTCTCTTCCTAAAGTAGTCTTCATTTCTGTTTAACATATCCAAGTGTGAGTTCTGTTGATATCCTCATCAGTCATTACTGTCTAGGTTGGCAGCCACAGTCATGGTGTGCTGTAGTAGTCATAAAGTGTTTATGACTCCCGTTGGATCCATAATGGGCTCCCTGTAGTCTGCTACCCATCTGTAATGGTGTTCAGATCTAGAGCCTCTGGTCAATTTTCCTGCTCCCCATGTTAATTTACTCTTCTCTCTCCCTTCAAGGAAACTCATCCTTTCTCCAGTCACATTACTGTATTTGTTCAACTTCCATGAAATCTCTGTCTCTTATGTTTCCTCTCTTCTTTTGACACTATTTTGTAAAATTCTGGGACAATCTCTATAGAAACAAGATGCTTTAGCTGAAACCTGACGGATGGGTTAGAGTTCATCAAGTCATTCATGGTAGGCATGAAGGCATAATAAGGGTTTGGCTATAGCATATCATAGAATAGCTAGATTGATTAGATAGATATGGAGGGGTTTATAGCAAAACAGTTTAGTTGAAAATATGGGCAGGAATTAGATCATACTCTATAGCAGCCTTAGGAAGCTATGTCATTCCTGGCCATACTGATAGTCATATAGAGAATGCATTATGTAGTTATGAGCTAAGATTACACATATAAATTCCATCCTATTCCTCCATTAGGTATACACCAGAGGATGGACTGAACCTTAACTTAGCATTTGAATCTTGTGTCTTACTGTGTAACAAGTATGTATTCCACAAAGAGTGGTCAGTATTGCCTCCAGCTAGATTACTATGTGTCCTTCTAGGCCTTGCCTCCTACAGCTGTGTACGAGAGTACATGGTCACCTGCAGCTTATGTTTTAATGAATAAAAGTAATCTTGGTGGGGACAAGTAAGCAGATAAAAGTAGCCATGGGGGACCAACTAGAAAGGCAGCAGGATAATTGCAGGAAATGAAGGCTATTGAGCAAAATTTGTAGGATAGAATGCTTCTCAGCCTTAATCCATCCAGTAGCTTTGTTAGGTCACTCTTACACTCACCGCTGCTGGGGGAAGATAAGCGTATACATTCCTTACACCAGTTCATTTGGCAAGTTGGGTTATGATCAAGAAGCTTTTTAAGTGGTAACTTTATATGAACTTATGCTGTCCTGTTTATGTCTAATCATATTTATTACATCGGAGTTACCGTGTAAGCACTTGTGTTGGCTTCTGCCCTATAAAGACTTGCATACCACACCTTCTACATTTAAAAAGTAAATTGTATTACAGCAGTACAGAGTTCTAGGTCACTGTTCTCAAAATGGCTTCAGATTAATACTTTTTATATATCTATGGAGTTTTGTTTGTTTTTGAAACATATACTCACGTAGGCCAAGCTAGTTTTGCACTTGCTATGTAGCCAAGATGGACATCCACCTTTCAAGGGCTATGTCACCAACACACATCTTCAGACCCTGTGCTCTTGGACTGACTGCTGATGAATCTTTAAGACACTGATCTCTATGTAGATCCTTCGTGTGTCTCAGGCTGGCGTGAACTGTCTGTAGTGCTGGGCTGTCTTCTGGTTGATCCTCCTTCCTCACAATTCAGAGTACTGTGGTTATATACATTATCTACCATGACTGGCTATGTTTGAGCCTTGAAATACATTTAGAGTCTAGTTAGCTAAACACTATTTCTACTTTTTATCCTAAGAAACCTTTGAAATATGTTCTAAATACTCCTATGTGCTTTTAAGAAATTAAGGTTCAGTATGGGAACACACATCTCTAATCTTGAAGTTTCAAAAGCAGAAGCAGGTGCGTCGTGGGGGGTGTAAGGCCAGGTTTGTCCAGACCAACTGGGATTACCCGCATTCTTAATGTAAAAGGACTCATTGCTGCTGATTAGTGACCACGTGATTATATAGATGGACATTCCTGTTCAAACCTTTTGCTGGTTGCCTTTTGCAGTAGTAGTGACATTGCTAGAGTTCCTATTATTTCCTTTCTTTTTAAAACCAATATCAGGAAGATAGAAATGCATACATTTTACTTTTTCCAAGTAAACTCTGGTTCAACTCTGATTCCCTGCCTTTTATGTTGCTGATAAAATTATTTTGATGGTCTATAAAAGTCAGTTTTCTAATTTGCCTTTAGATATGTCAGACACATACTATCAGAAAAGTTCGAAAATCAGTGATGGGTAGAACACTTCCAAATAATGTTTAATAAGCTTTTCTGGGTACTGAAATCACCTATAAATCCTCCAACTGAAGGTCAATTTGCAAAACTGAGGATTCATGAAGAAATTATTTAGATGGAAAGGTTTCCTTGTGCTGTTGAGTTAATGTGTGCCCGGCAGTATTTGCTGGCCTCCCACCTAAGGAATGGAATTCTGATGACAGAGATAGGGTCCAACTGTATACCTCAGTTTTAAGCCAACAAAACTTGTATTGTTTCTGTTGTTCAATAAATTGTTGTATAATTGTCCCAATACTTATGAAATAAACTAGAAGTTGAATGATTTTTTTTTTTCCTGTTAAAAAGTGTAGTGCCTTCCTTCTAGAGTTTCATGTGTGGATCAGGAAATTGGTTGGGGTTGGTTTACTGTGAAAGTACTTCAGATCAGTGGAATACTAAACCTGTAGGGCTGTGTTTATCTGTTAGTTACAATATATTATAATTGTATTTAAAATATGCAATGGATTGTTAAGGATTTCATTTTAGCTTGAATTTGTAATATGTAGGCCAAATACTACTCAAAGATTAATATATTATTTAATTTCATTTTCATTTATTTCTGATAGGCTCTTCTCTTTTCTACCTTAGTACTGGGGATTGAACCTGACGTCCTTCATGTCAAACAAACATTCTGCCAATCAGCGACATTCCTAGCTTTCCTCCATTTTTTTTTTTTTCCCTAATTTTGAGACAGGTTCTCATTAAACTACCTAAACTAGCCTCAGGATCATCCTGTCTCAGTCTCCTAGCAGGTGTGAGTCCAGCCCTGAAGCTCTTCTTACTTTCTGATTCACAAAAATACTACTTTTTTTTTTTTCGAGGGGGAGTGTTTCAAGACAGTTTCTTTGTGTATAGTCTTGGCTGTCCTAGAACTAGCTCTGTAGACTAAGCTGGTCTCAAACTCACAGATCATCTTCCTGCCTCTGCTTCCAGAGTGCTGGGATTAAAGGCATGCCTACACGGCCACAAAAGATATTTTAATGCTTCTTATCAATTGTCATATTAGTAAATATGTTATATCTGATTTAGAAACAAGTTCCATCTGGCTTGTGACTTTAGCCACACATTCTTTGATTCAATTGTGGACATAATGAAAGCTTTTGGTATTTTTACTTTGCAGTAGTTTAGGTTAGGTATAATCAATTAGGCATGTAATTTCTGTCCTCAAGTACCTATATTTGATTAGCATAAATTAATCTGAGAAGGGAGAAAGAAATGTTTCTTTTGTGCTTTATCTTTCTTCACCTAATGGACTGTGCACTTCCATCCGGCACAGCTGCCCCTTCTCTGCAATCTCCCCTCCTAACACTCATGCTATTTTCTCGTTCTCTTATATTAGTAGAACATTAGTTTCCCTGGTCTTGTGGTTTTTCTGGCTTCTAATCCTTATCACCTATAAC